GCGTCGGCGGTCGATGGCATTTTGGCCGGCGAGGCGTACAAGGCGCAAGTGCGGACGCGTGCGATTGACGGCCTCTGCTACAGCAAGCAGCAACTCTAGTTTGAAAGAGTTTTTGGATTTCAGAGTCCGTGAGCGCCCGGATGTGGTGATATAGAGTCTAGGACCGCGTGTAGAATCAAGATGTGGGCCTTTGTTGATCGCTAACTTCAGTAGTCTCCGGTATACTACAATTGTAGTCGGCGGCTACAAGTTGCAACTGCGAAGCTAGCTGGAGCTGTTGGATCGTGTCAAGACTTGCCAATCAAAGCGATGAGACCGTGATTTTGATTTCGATTTCCATATAATAATATATCCATAAATAAATCACCGATAAAAATCCATAATATTTGTCTCAATATTTTAAAACACCGTGTTCGCACCCGATTATAAAATGGAAGGATTTGGATAAAAAGTATCAAGTTGGCCAACGAGACGCCAGCAGCAGATTGCGATGGGCGGTGTCTTCAGCTCCAGCGCTGCCAGCGAGGTCGGCGCTGCCGACGCGCCGAGCACCCACGCGCAGGAAGCCGTGCGCAGCCCGCCTACCGTGCCCGCGCCCGTCGCCGAGCCTGGAGTCGCGCCTCGCCCGGCCCCGGAGAGCCGCGACGAGGCTCTCGACACCAGTGCCTCGACGCCACAGGACGCAAGCACGCTTTACGACGCGCTGCTTGTGCATCTCGCGGCGTCTGTGCGAGCGGCGATGATCGTCCAGACCACGAAGAACCGGCGGCCGTCGTTCGCCGTGACCACGATAGCGCGCATGGTCGACGAGACGACGTACGTGCCGAGTGGCGAGATCGCTGCCGTCACTGCAATCATTGTGGAGCTGCTCGCCGCCGAGCCGGGCATCACGCTGTATCCTTCGCGCCAGCAGTTTGTGTTGGATGCGATGCAACTCGCGCCAGACACGGACGCCACTAGCACGGACACACCCGACGTCTTGGACGCGCTGGTGCGACGCTTGGCGCAAGAGATCGCGTCGAAACCCGTGTCGCACGCAGCCATCTACAAGCGCGCGAGGAATGCAGCTGCTGGCAGCGCTGGTATCTCCAACAATCAAGCCAAACGCATTGTTGTCCAGCGTCTCAAAGCTCTCGGCTGCATCGCAAATGCGACGGATGGCAGCCCCTGCCTTGCCATCAACCCGGCGTGCTTGCACACCCCGGCTGCTGCCTTTGGCGACTTGACCTTTCTTCTCTCGCGGCCAGCAATGCCGCGCCGTTGCCGTATAGCCGCGCTAGCGCCAGCTTCCGACGCCTCGGAGGTTGTCGCGCGTGAGACTCGGCCGTGTGGTGACGCGGGTCGTTCGCTCTATGACGCGCTATTGGATCACTTGATCGTACACATCCATGGTGCAGTGCACAAGGCGATCCGGGCCAAGAAGAGGGAGTTCAAGCTTGAGAAAATTACGTCGATGCTCACGAAAGCAGGGTACGTCGACGACGTGCCTCGTACATCTGCGTACATTCTGCAACGTCTCCTCGTCGACCCGAGCTTGCGACGCGGCGGTGCGCTCAACAAGATGCTGGTCGCTGCGTCACCCAACGATCTGCCGCCGCTGCGGACGATGCCCAAGGCGACGATCAAGACGAGTGTCTCTGCCCTTGTCGAGCATTATGGTCGGAAGATTGCTATGGCGCCGCAAGCGACGGCCCACCTTGTGGGAAACGTGCAGAATCGCTGCGGGGATGCAGCAAAAGCGCAGACCGTACTTAGCATGCTGCGGGCGACAGGCTGCGTGACGGACGTTCTCACTGCGACAAAGAAGCAAACACCGCGTCTCGGCATCAATCCCGCTGTTGTCCGACGGCCGCTGGCGTCGTTCCAGCACATGTCCTTTCTGCACTCCGTCTCCTCGGTGCCGGCGCTAGCGACCGCTCTTGCGCGATCGGACGGCCCAGACGCATGCAACGTGGCAAGCCGCGAGGCGCTTCAGCACGTTGTCATCGAGCCTGCGACCGTAGCTCTTCCCCCACGTCCCAACGCGCGTCCGCTGGCACCGGAACCGACAGCACCGTCGCCACCAACTGTACACGAGCCAAGCCCGGTCATCGACAGCACCATCGATGTCGCGACCGTCGTGGAGCTCTTTGAAGTCACGTATCTCGATGCGATCCTGGCGTGGGTGCAAGACGGTGAAGTCTTTCATGTCTCGTACATTCGGTCCCAAGTCCGTCCGCTCGTGTCGCCCGACGTGCCCACGGACGCGGCGGTCGTGGCCATTGTTGCGCGGTTGACGCAGCACCCGCAGCTCGATTTTTGCGCCTCAAACAGGCCGTGCTTTGTCGGCAAAGGCTTTCCTCCGCCGGACGACCGCGTCGATCTCACGCCGCCTCGCTCGAACATGACGATGGACGATGACGACGACGTGTCGCTCGCGGGTAGTCGATCCCAATTGGACAAAGCATCCGTATGCTCTGACGTAGATAGTGACGAGGGTGGCGCGTCCGAGCCCGAGACGGAAGAGGCGGCAGTCTCATCGCCAACCAAAGATTCGTCGGGGGCCAACGCCCGCCGCGTCATTGCGACCTACGTGCACGAAGTCGTCGCTAGCATTGCTTTGGGAAATGTCTACGACACGGCGCGTCTCGCGCTGGAGCTTGGGCGTTTGGCGCTCGACGACGTGGAGCTGGCAGACGCGGTCGACGCCGTCGCGTCGACTTTGCAGACGATGCCACAGCGCATCGACAGCACCAACATCAATAACGAGTGGACGTTCCGCCGAGCCATTGCTCGCAGAGGTCCTACGACCAAAAAGCCAACGACGTCGGCCAAGCTTCCTGCGCGTATGGCGCCAAGGTACACGAAGTAGATATCATTTTGAAGCATTTGATTGGCTATTTTCTTTGAATTTTGGGCCAATCCCACGCGATTCTGGATCAACCACCGCCGCCAAGCCGCCGAGCCGCTCGCTGCGTGCGCCAAATCGAGTTGGAAAATGAAATCGCTTCTACGTGGCATAGTGATTGAGGCCACTTTGGAGGTCCCGAAATGCTACTCCATGTCGGCGTGCGAGGCATGCAGCGACAATTATGGGTTGTCAAAGATAGATTGCGGCACATGCCACGAATAAAACGGCACTGTGCCACATTTAGTGACAGTGAACCTGAGCTTGAGAATGCACGAAATCGCGCTGGGAAATGAAATCGCTCCAGCTTGACAAAGCAATAGAAAATACATTCGAGATGATACAATGCGCATCTGCGTCGGCATGTGAGCGATACAATGAGAGTTCTGTGGTGGTCAACATTATATGCGGCATGTGCCATAAATAACATCTGCGTGACGCCACATTTACACATTTAGCTGCCGCCGTCGACGCGACACAGCTCAGATACAACGCAACCAAGGTCCGAGCTTTCTGGTTGTTCGAATAGCATTTTCGGGAAGCTCGTGACAATTGTACAATCTTGTTCCGTGGAGCGCTGTGTATGACGACGCGATGGCGCTATTTCCGGCTCGGGCCTTGGTTTTTGCGCTGCTTGCGGTCGGTGTTTAGTGGTTAGGGGAGTTGAGTGTAATATTCTAATATGGTTTTGTTGCGTGTTCTGCCCGTGATCCGAGAAAGCACGTGCTTGCAGCTGTGCTTGCAGTTCAAGTTGAAGCTCAACAACACCGCCTCAAAGAATAGGTTTAGGTTTAGCTTCTTGTAGCACGTCTTAATTCACTTACTCTTTATTTCAACTCCTCTCGAGCTCCTGTCTTCTACCACCCTCGGTGCGCAGACGAAGCAGGCCTCAACATGGTCCATGCGGTCGGTCGCGTGCGTGCCGGCGTACACGTTGCGCAGCCCGACGAGCGCGTAGTTGGTAATGACGCGGTTTGGGAGCAGCTCGTCGGCGAGCGTGACACCCGCGTTCTTATTGGCCAATCGCCGAAGTAGCGCTGTCGAGCTTGTGATCTTGCAGGCGCCACACGTCTGCAAGACCGCCGTGGCCCTGGTTGTTACTGTAGTTTGGAGCGGTCTCTGCGGCCACACGATAAATCACTGACGCTTAGTCTCGGCTTGTGGTCGCTACGCCAATCAACTGCCTATTACCAGCTTCACAGTCATTATAAACTTTAGGAATACTCGATTCGACCATTTAGCGTTCTCGAATGGATCGAGATGTGCGTCAAGGATATTGTCAAGGAGCGAGCTGCCACGTACGAAATAACGTTAGTTAGTACCTCACGGGTTCGTAGCAAACATATACGACAAACTGAAATTGTAATACCAAATATCGATGCAAGATTAGACTCTAAGCTCGCTGTAGTAGATGCCATCAGTCGCCCGCGTCCGCAATTGCGCCT